GCCTCTAAGGCCTGCAGGGTAAAGAGGATTGATTTACGTATGTATGTATGAATGAATGAATAAAAGGATAACGATGGCTAACATGTCTACAGGGCTTATGTCAAGCATCATGCTGAGGACATTATACCCATGATCACATTTAATCCTTAAGAAAACCCAGGATGAAGTTATTTCTTATCTCATTTTTGAGATGAAGCCACTGATGCTTGTAGAGTTTATTTGTCCAGTGTCACAGAGCTAGCAAATGGCAGAACCAGGATTTGAGATTTGACTCTGATTCTGACCATTATGCCCAGGAGTAAAAGGAAAACCCAAACTACAAGAGCTAAAGGAAGGGGCAGTTTGTAATTTTATTTATTTATTTATTTTTTCCCCCAAAGCCCCAGTAGATAGTTGTATGTCATAGCTGCACATCCTTCTTAGTTGCTGTATGTGGGACACGGCCTCAGCATGGCCGGAGAAGCGGTGCGTCGGTGCACGCCCGGGATCCGAACCCGGGCCGCCAGCAGCAGAGCGCGCGCACTTAACCGCTAAGCCGCAGGGCCGGCCCAGAAGGGGCAGTTTGATAGACTAAAATCTGGCAGGAGAGAGTCCCATGCAGGTGAGGAGGAGTTACAGCCTCAGGTTAGAAATTCCACAGAGGAGGAACCGTGTCTATCTTGCACTATGCAGCATGGTGCAGTCATGGTTGACACAGCTGATATAACCAAGATAAGAGTAGTTTGTGTTTGGTGTTTTTGATGACAGAACTGCCTTCTGAGGGTGCTGGTTCATTTCTGCTCTCTGAACCGTCCCCCTTTTGTCATCTAGTAATTCAGACTCCAAGGTGTCTGGAAATGACTTCATGTTCTGGATGCCCTGAGCTGTCTGGTGCTAGTACACTCCACAATTAAACTTGCTCTCTTCTCTGTCATATCCTGTAATACCTGTAAGTAAAAGTTCGTGGAACATTTTGGGGGGCTCAGGAAAGGGGAGCCCAGTTGCTGCACTGCATTAATTTGTATTCCTCAGTCCATTCCCACAGAACAGGCAGCTGTTGATCCGCCATCCACTCAATTTATGCATTCATTCATCAGACATTTATTGCTTATTTATTCTGTTGTTGGCCTGTTCTAAGTGGCAAGGATATCAAGATGAAAAGACAAACATGTCTAGGGGTGGGGATGGTAATTGAAGAGCAGGCAGGGCTGTGGAAGGATTTAATACTTTTTTTTTTTTTTTTTTGGTGAGGAAGATTGGCCCTAAGCTAACATCTGTTGCCAGTCTTCCTCTTTTTGCTTGGGGAAAATTGTCCCTGAGCTAACATCCGTGCTAGCCCCCCTCTATTTTGTATATGGGACGCCACCACAGCATGGCTTGATGAGCGGTGTGTAGGTCTGCACCCGGTACCTGAACCTGCAAACCCTGGACCACCAAAGCAGAGCGTGCAAACTTAACCACTATGCCACCGGGCTGGCCCCTGGATTTAATACTGTTAAAGATGAGAAACATTTAAGGTGATTGTTGGCTGAGTAAGAGCAATAAAGAGAAGAGAATGGAGAGAAGAAGAGAAGGTATTGCTGAAAGAAGCTCAAGAAGAGATAGGAAAAGGATGCAATCTTCTGACACCAAGAAGAGAGATGGCGTCCAGCTGTTGATAAGTAGACAGAAAGATACCTGCAGGAGTTGACAGTGAGTGGCTGCCATTTTCTCTGTGAGGAAGGAGGCAAGGTCACTCACAGAGTCTGCTGCTCTGGGAATTAGGTGGGTAATGTGAGGAGGACCTTGAAAGTTTGGAACAGCTTCCTGATAGATGAGGAGGGGAGCCAGGAAGGATACGGCTGCACATCATGGTGGGCCTAGCTGTGATGGGAACCGTGAATTTCTAATAAGGCCAGTTAACACAGGTCTGTGATTTCTTTTTACCAGCACTTAATAGTTAACAAAGCCATTAAGCCACAGGAAAAGCTCCTCTTTTGACTGATTCTTCTATACTTCTAACTAGAAGAATATTTGTCTACAAGAACTAAGATCCTTGGGTCTGAGCCTTCACATCTTAACTGAAATTATTCCTGACTGGCTTCTAGAGGATACAGAAGACACAGGCCTGGATCCTGCTTATGACTTGCTAGTGGGTTGCCCCTTGTACAGCCTCAGAGTGAGTCATTGCCCCTGGAGGAGAGGAAGTCACAGTGTCCAGTCTACTCAGAACACCTGCTCCCTCCACCCTACAGTGATTTAGGTTTTAGGCTAACAGGTTTCCCCTAGTTCATGGCTACTCTATCAGTCAGGAGACTTACTAGCAAGTAACAGAGATGAGCTCCAATTTAAGCAGACAAGGAGTTTATCAGAAGAATGTTAGGGAGCTCACAGGTTCTTCTGAATGGTTGGACAAACAAGCCTGGAAACTAGGCTACCAGAAACACTGCCCCAAATCCCACTGCAGAGCCTATCTGGGAGAGAAAGCATGGTTGCTCCCCTGGGCCTAGAGCTGCGGCTGGCACTGCTGGCACCACTGACCAACAGTGGTCCTGGCATACTCCTGCCAAAACCTGTGCTATCTCTGGAACTGGCGTTCACTCTCCCAACCACCCCTGAATGGGTTCTGCTTGGCCTGACTTGTTTGCATCACTAGCTTCTGATTTGGAGTCCAGAGTGAGTGATCTCATTAATAGGGCCGAGCTCGTGTGCCGATAGCTGAACTTCATGGGAGACAAGGAGCTGCAGTGTCTATATTTTTTCCTGCTGTAGTGGACGTGGGCTCTGGTGGCAGTTGAAATGTTGGATGGCCATAAAGAACGACATGTCCATTACAGTGCTATATGAAACACATGAACAAATGTTTCAGTCCTTCTGTATTGGACGAAAGTCTTAGGTCACTGGATGCTGAGTTTCTCTGTAGTTCCTCTCTTGCAGACTATTTTAAATTCTTTGAATCTTCAGCACTTTGCAGGATATTCTCAGAAAATATTCGTAGAATGAATTAATAAGTGTTGAGTATATTCTTTCAACAAACATGTCTTGGGCATATACTCTGTGCCAGGCACTATGTTGAACATTGTTGGCAGGATCAAAAATGCTTGTATGCAATAGTAAAGAAAGAAGCAATCAGGAACAAGGACTCAGCTACCTTGCAAGAATCAAAACATGAGGGTTAGGATCTAGAGTGAAGAAATACTGCTTAAATATGAACTAGGTAGGATGAGTCTGAATCAGCTTCCCAAGTTGAGGTTGGGGATATGGCAGATCAGGGACAGAAAGGGCTGAAAGACTTAGCAGGGTGAATTGCAGAGATGGCCGGGGTGGGAGGCAGGCAGAGTGGACAGTCCCCTGCTGGGAGCAGAGTGGGAAAGTTGCACCTCAAGCTCTCCTGGTTCTCATCTGACTCGGCTATTTCTAGGCAGGTTGCTTGTTCATTTTTAGGGGAGTTGTAGCACTTGCTGGTTTTTCTCTAAGTGACTATTGTATGCTCCAATTGTAGCAAGCAATTAAATGTGTTATATTTGTAAAGCGTAGAACAGTGTCTGGCATGTTGTAAGTCCTATATAACCATTTATTAAATATATAAAATAAAGCAATTTTCTGTTTCTGATACTTCCACAAAATATGTTAGGGATTCCACTTGGTCTCACATTTAGCCAAATGCCAGGTGTATTTTTTCATCTTCTGACCTTTGGCCTTTTTTGTACAGCATCTGCTTTACATTTTTTAGGTGCTTTCTGTATTCTAGGCACTGTCTGTAGCACAGCAGCTCAGCCCTTCCTCTGCCCATTTAGAGTTGGCAAATCATATGGATGGTGCTCCCCAGGCAAAGTGGCCTGACGGCCAGACCCACTGGATTCCCTATGCCTTGATCCAGTAATTCCTTTCTATCTTATCAATTGCTGAAGTTAAAAAAAAAACCTTTAATCCGGCTTTTTCCATGGTCTTCAGTGGGAGAGTTGGTCCCATTCACCTCCTGTTATTACTAGAGATGGAAATTGTAGTTTCTGTGGTTTAAATCATATAATCCTCATGAGAACCTCACAAGGAAACTAACGAGGTTTTCTCCATTCTGCAGATGAGGAAAAGGAGGCCAGGAGAGTTTAAGTTTCCTGCCAGAGGTCAAAGAGCTGATTAGTAATGGCACCAGCATTTGAACACAGGCAGTCTGGTTTTAGAACTTGTGTGCTTAACTCCTATGTCCACTCATTTTCTTCTTTTCATAAAGCGGTATAACTGCTTCATCATTAAAAGCATTCTTTTAAAAGGTCAAAGGAGTGTCCACATTTACATACTTCCCTTACAACTGAGAACACAGCTTGGCATAAGCCTCGCCAGATAGAATTTAATATCAATAAATACAGTATGTTCTATAGCTTTTTAAATGGCCGTGTAGCATGGACAGATATATTATCAATGAATTTGTCCCTTATTTTTGTAGATTTAGATTTTCTTTTGTAGCTTCACAAGCATTTCAATCTTGCAGAGAGAAAAATTCCCTTGAATTTTGTCCAAATTGTCTGTGTCAGTTTATTGAAATTGGTCACGGCATGCAGAGATGAAATATATGCATTCAAAATTGAACCATTTGAATGTCTGGTGTGGAAATAAAATTTTAAAAATCTAGAATGTCAGATCTGGGCTATATAACTCTGGTAAAGGACATCAGCGAATGGGAGTCAAAAAACTTCATTTGTGTGCAAAACCTCTTTGAAGCCAAAAAAAAAAAGTCCTCGGAATTGTGTCAAAGCCAGAGACTTTTGTGCACCTCAAATGGCCAAAGACTCATGGGGACAACCAAAGGCCTTCCAGAGTGCTAAAGGAATCCAGGTATACTCCACGGCCTTCCGTCTGAGGAATCTAACGCCCACTAATCACCAACAGCCAGGGCACCTTCATTGCTTCTGTGCCATTTTAAGCAAATGTCTCTCTTCTTCAGGCTCAAACTGGTTTGTTGTTTATTTTTTCTTAAAAAAAAAACCTTTTTCTGCCCATGGTAAAACTAAAGGCCTAACATATTTCCCAATTTCTTTTGACAGAGAAGAAGACGAGCATATGAGTCGAACCTCATCTGTGATGGTCTGCAGCTGGAAGCAACAAGATCAGTAAGTGTCTGTCTCTTTCCAACCTTTGGTTGACCATTGCTCTGGGGAACCTGCATGTCACTTGGAATGCTGGAATAGCATTTGAAAAATGCAACCCCAGCCACACCTTAGTTGAGAGAGGAGTCAATCAAAATCTGCATTATAGAATGTATGCGGTCATATGTCACTTAACAACAGGGATACATTCTGAGAAATGAGTTGTTAGGCAATTTTGTCGTTGTGTGAACATCATAGAGTGTTCTTACACAAACCTAGATGGTATAGCCTACTACACACCTAGGCTATATGGTACTAATCTTATGGGACCACTGTCATATATGTGTGGTCTGTTTTTGACTGAAACGTTATGTGGGGTGTGACTATATTTGTTTCTGGTGAAAGCAAGCAGATATTTTTTAATAGCCAAAAAAGAGATCATAAATACATGTATAAATCATTGTTTTCTTCTTCTTTTTTTTTTTTTTTTTTTTTATTTATTCATTTTTTTCCCCCCAAAGCCCCAGTAGATAGTTGCATGTCATAGGTTCACATCCTTCTAGTTGCTG